ACTATCCTGACACCAAGTTATAAAAAAGGTTCTTATACCGTTGTGAGGAGCCAAAAGCATAACGTTTCCTCAAAGTAAATTTGCAAAGTTATTATGTTGTGACATAAAGTTATAATTAAAAAGTACAGTTCGCTCTACCACCATGTATGGTGTAATAAAGCACACTTTCACCCGAAGTAGTATATTTAAATCACGAGGACAATTTTAACAGATAAATAGATTCGATTCTCGCTCGCTCAGTTCAGGCCTCTTTAGTATGGGCACTTTTTTCTTGTTATTTAACTCCGAAATATTCCCGCTATAATATGGCGGCGGTTTGTAAAATAGTTTGTGACAAATGACTTCGGAACTTTTCCGTAAATGATAATCATCATAACACACTGTTTGTATGTTACACTCAGCAATATTCCAGCTCTATGTCGGCGGTAAATAATCGAGTCTGGGCTAGACAATCCAATGATCAATCGATCTACGCAAGTGTAGTGTTCAGCAACAGCATGCCTCAATAAGGCTTGAATAATTTCATGCAACGAAAATAAATAGTTACTATGGAAATGGTGATGAGAAAACGTGCCCACCAAGTTAACATGTGTGACGAAAGTGACAATCGGGATGTCATTTCTAATCTTGAACCTCGGGTACACACGAGATATTCCGAACGACAGTTCAAGGCTGAACCGACTGCTTTCGTTTTCCTTAAAATTATTGTCTATCTTTCGCTTCAGAGGAATGAACATGCAAACGGAATAGACTTGACATTATTCCTAGGAAATACTCCCATACAATCTATGCCGTCTGTCAGACGTAACAGAATGTCCTTTAGATCATTTATAAATTTGATTCAAGAACTTTGACAAAACATTTGCCTAGTCTACTCGTGCGTAGTCTCTGGAAAGAAAATGGTGCCGTACAACGCGAACGGGCTAATTTCTAATTTGCCGATCACGTTTTAGTTTTAGTAGGTTTTTTCTTTGGTCTCTTTGGTTTCTTTGCTGTAAGTGAATGTTCACAGATAGCGATAGCGAAGATCTAATGTTAATGTTATACCACATAAAATCAGGTTCCGTAGTTTGAAGGCACAATGTCACACATTTTCGACAGTTTTTTGTCCCATATTATACATATCGAGGCATATGCACTCACGTTAGGTTCCTATTGATGCAATAAAAGAGTGAATATCCCATACGACTTGCCTGAAATCGATAATTGAAACTTCGAGGCGAACAACTTCCAAACAGCGAACACTTGCCGTAGATGTAAACAATTGATCCGTACATCGAAAACTGTCGCACGCGGTGTTATCATTGTTTGTCGAACTGGTTTCAATCACATAGTTGTGGGTAGGATATTCTTAAAGAGCGCTCCTAGGGACATAATTCTATGGGGTTCGCTCGTAATATGTTCGGCTGGTTTTGAGGGCGCGAGAGTCGATTTAATGCAACGTTGCATTAACTCATTGGAACTTTTTAATTTAATGTTGTATATCTAAATACGTAATTTCTTTTAGAAATAAATTATATGGTAGCTTCCCTGAAGGCTGATAGTTAGTATTTTTGAGAGAAATGCAAATGTTTTTTTTTAAAAGTGTGGTGTGACATTGTGCCTTTAAGAAGCACTTTTCGTAGGGTGCAGACAGAATCATCTGACAGCCGTGATTGGATGATTTTGAAATTCTTGTGTGTGTTTTTAAACACTCATCCAGTAATTACAACTGACCATATTTTTCAATATTTAATGCTGTCTTGTTTTGATAGAATCACTTATGCTGAATGTGTGCAGATATATTTTCAAGTAGGTGACATTTGGTGCGGAACTGGGGTTGGCGTTTTCAACTTTCTGTACTCAGAAAAAAGAATTGGTTAATATATATAATGACTGTTAACGACCTGGTCATTTTTAAAGTTAGTATAACATCACAATGGAAGCCAATGGGAAAACATTTGATTGTGTAAAACCTCAATGAGTTTTGGACAGTGCGAATGATCTAGAGTTATCCCCCTTCTCCATATCTTCACATGTAAGGTTCATTTACCCTGATACGTTTTAACGGCATGTATGTTGCGGACACGTGAACCAACTGTTTCACCTCTGTGGCGTTGTGCAAACATTTGATAGCATATCTGTTCGACCCTTGTCAGTCGGTCACATTATGTGGACCAGGGTGTGAGCAGCAGGAGGGTCAGCACAGATAACACACATTCTTGTACTTTGTTGCTGCTGTATCAAGTATTGATGTGTCCTTTGTCACGGAAGAAAGACACGTGGGTACATGCGTTACGTAAATATTTTGAGTTGTACCTTAGTGAGTGAGTGAGTGAATTTAGTCTTACGCCACACTCAGCAATGTTCCAGACAGCCCAGTGATCAACAGCATGAGCATCGATCTACGGAATTGGGATACAATGACGTGTCAAACAAGCCAGCGAGCCTGACCACCCGATCCCGTTAGTCGCCTCTTACGACACGCAGGAGTTACTGAAGATCAATTCTAACCCGGATCTAGTCGGCTTATCTAAACTTGCTTCTCAGTATTCAGTACAGCCTTGGAGCAAGACTAATGAACAATGTTTACTTCTAGGGGTGGATATTGCCCTGATTCCCATATTGCGATATATTGCAATGATTAAGAGATATTGCAATTTATTGGTATACCCTCGCGTCATGGGTTTCCGTGGTATTAAGAAATTTACGACTATGAATATGATCGCTCATATTGCCAAGTCATATAAACATAATATAGTGTTAGACGACATACCTTTGTATCATTTAATGTCAATAAAACACTTTTGTCATTCTGAAGTTCATTGTTGTCCGTATCGGACGACAGGCGGCCATTGTGCACATATGGTGACGTCATATGGTTCCGTGGTATTTCCTTCAGATCAAATTACGGGCGCACAGCACATGTCACAATCTCACACGTTGTCAACAGCCAATCCGGGAGTGTCAATGTAGGTTTACAGTAATATCGAAGTTGATAAATTGTAATACAGTAAACGATTTTGTAGAATTAACACAATAGTCACATTTCTTCAGCATAAATTTCCAGTTCATAAAATATGTAGAGTTGATACGGGATACGTGAAATGAAAAGTGAAAAAACAACTTAAGAGATGACCCTATCGGGCTTCCATAGTTTAAAAAATAGAGCTGGGATGTACCCCCTTAGGTCACGTGATTGTATTTATTGATGACATCAGCTAGCAGACGAGCGATGTTTGGAAAACTTTGAAGCTGAGTAAGTTTATAGAAAATGTTTGGAAAGATCGCGCAAAAAATGCATTACGTGCTAGACATAAAGTTGCATTAGTTTTTAATAGTAGATGACTGTACGGACGCAAATTGATGAAAGTCTGAACATTTCTTTGTTTAGACCCGTACCGATCAACTGATGAACGTAAACAATCCATAGGTGGCGCGATTTGGCGAGTGGCTCGTGAGAAATTATGTCATTAGAAAATACCACGGAAACGTAAGTACCACGGAATCATATGACGGCATGGTACTGGCTTGAAGGTTTCTGCCCAAGTGCGTACATCAAAATTAAATTCACAATAGCTCTCTGTGTGCGACCACAGGGGCGTGTCACGCTTAGAAACAGCGTTAGAAAGACATCTAGGTATATAGACCCTACGCGGGTAGGGTCTATATACCTAGATGTCTTTCTAAGGCTGTTTCTAAGCGTGACACGCCCCTGTGTGTGCGACATCATCTTCTTAGTTGCTGTTACACCATACTTTCAGGCTCCCAGTCCCCACGGTTTACAGATAATTAAATGATATAGAGCCTTAATGTTTAATTGAAGTATTGCAACAAAGTTTTGCGAACATGATGATAAAGGTATAACATGATTTTCATGGGCAGTGTTGTTTGCTTCAACAGAATGACTTCAATGCAGTATGTAATTATTGTTACTGTATGTCAGTGATTCATTCAGATTCAACTCTAATGTAAACATGTGTTAACTTTAAATATTGCAAAGTGAAACAAAAACATGATTTTGGTGAACTACTTGAGCTTAAAATCTCATGTGACCTCCAATAACTGAAATCCTTGACCAGAGTGTCATTATTCAGTCCTACAAAATTGATAAGACTTAGGCCTTTATGATCAATTGATAACATATGTCCTATTATGAAACAAACAAAACTCACAAAAAAATTGAATTGTGAAATGGTCACTCAGAGCCAGAGGCTCTACTAATAAGTTTAAATATAAAAAGGATCCATTTGAGGCCACTTAATTCCTCCAAAATGTCACGTATGAAACCATTCAAACCCACAAAGCTAAAAGCATTTGGAAGAATATTTGGCACTTTTGGAGCCCCTTAAAAAGAATCTTCCACTTGTAAATGAAATACAAGAATATTTGGCACTTTAAAAGCACATTTTGTTGCTATGGAAATCAAGGGCCGATTATTCAAAGGGAGCTAACTCTGGATGACCCACTAAATTGCAGAATCTGAACCATATCGCGATATTCATTTCGCGAGAGGTATGTACCGGTTTACCAGTAATATTGCACAGCCCTATTTACTTCCTGGTTTGACGTTAACCAGGCATGGATGTTAAGTAGTGTCTTCTACAATGTTTGATTTGTTCCGTGACTTGCTTCGAGCAGAGACCATATAATAGAGAACACAACACCTTTTATAAAATGGTCAAATGTAACAAATGTTACATTTGGAATTACACTACCTCAGTAAACTACCAATTCCGGTACTTTTGAGGGTTGAATCTCATCCGGGAATCGAACCTATACTCGGTTCTCTCAGATCACAGCGACGTTACCCACTCAGCCACCGAGTCTTTCACAACGGAGCCATGACAACCGTGTCAGCTTGTTGAATGTACTATTTACAGCGATGGATTAAACGTTAGATAAATGTTAAATCATACCGATTTTCTCCACCACACCAAGGCTTAATCTCAAACTCTCCATGAAACCGCGAACGTTGGCAGGTGCACTAATCGATCAGACACGTGACGTCATAGCCCGGGACAGCTTCCCAGCCTCCAAGCGAGAACGCGCGAGAGTGCTGCACAAAGGCGAGTGAGAAAGGAGGAGCAGACGACTGATAAACAGTGCGAGGTCGGGCAGAGTCTAATCGAGTCCAAACGTTTAGCTACTGGGGCATATTATTGTTTCAATGACCACAGCTGATCAGTGTTCATTGAACGGGCGGCAGGTTCAGATACAGTAGAGAGCAGACGACATTAAGTAGAGCCAGTCTCGCTTCCGTGCACCACAAGGGAGACTGCAAGCAGTATGGAAAACGCTTCACTTGTACACAGCGAACGGATCCTTCAGCCCGTGTGGGACCTGCGGGTTGGGTATGAGGAATACCTTCGTTCCCCACTGTTCCCGGTGTTTCTGTCCATCTCCTTCTATTTGTCCCTGTGTACGCCCTTGATGATCATCGACATCTTCTGCTCGGAGATGAGCTGGTACAAGAAATACAAGATCCAGCCCTCGAGGAAGGTGACAGGAGCTGAGATCATGGATACCCTGAGTCTGACATTCTGGAACCATGTTCTGTTCATTCTGCCTACCGCCATGGCCCAGTGGATATGGACCCCGCCAACAGTCATGCCCGACCTCGCGCCGACCCTGTTCGAGTTCGTTTGGCACCAAGCCGCAGGTGTCTTCATCTTCGACTTCCAGTACTACGTCTGGCACTATACCCACCACAAGGTAATAACTGCATTTATTAACATGCTCAGTCTGGGCCCATGTTATTTCAGAGAAGGCCCTTTTATGGATAATTTAAAATCGTTGACTGAAATATATGCGATTGGAAGTGAAGATTGTAGCTCGCTCACAAACTCGGTTAATCACCCTGTAGAGAAACAAAGAGTTGCTATAGGCATGCTACGGGCGGAGGGACGTAATTTCAGTTCCGAGATTCCACTCTGATCAATTCTGTAATCTAAAATACAGAAAGGCGTTAAATCAATGCCAGTCGCTAAATCATCCCATCATTCCAGTCTATTACAGGTGACGTTTATCGCGAGCCACATGTAACGGATATTACACGTATATTCTTGATACCTGTTCATCACACGTACGTTATATAGTCACTTACATTCGTTATAAACAATATGTCACGTTTGCACACACACAAATCTATAAACCATTTCTTCGCAGTCTGTTGTAAGCTCACCTTGACAGAGCCATATCATGCAGAATTCCTACACCATATTTCTGTTTGGTGTATGATAATTAATATCATTTTAGAAATTTCCATTGGAGGCATGTATTCCAAGAACGTGATATAAAGAATTGATTCCAAATCAGTCTCTAGCACAAACAGACAGTTAATCAAAATATTTACCAAGAACACATACAATATTATACTGTCGCAGCAAGTCTAGATATTTTCAGCATCTGAAATTTTGTAGGCACCTTCCTAATAAACACAATCTGTCGGTCAGGATATATTATCCCTAAGTGAACTTTAAATGAATCATAGTACACCATGTACCCAGGTTTAGTATGAAACAATCGCGTCACTTTGCTGCCTTGTCTGATGACATTTTGGTATGTCGATGAATGCAGAACATAATTGTTTGAGTGCTGTATAAATATAGGTACAGATACTCAGGTGTAGCTGCCATAATGTGGTCGAAGATAGACTACCAAGTTGTTTAAACTGTAGGCTAATGCTTAGTCTCTGAATATGTATCATTTTGATTGTAACAAATAATTCCCATTTATATTGAAAAGGAGCCCCAGGGAGACCAGAGATTCAGTAACTGGGGAAATGTAGAGAGAGAGAGAGAGAGAGAGAGAGAGAGAGAGAGAGAGAGAGAGAGAGAGAGAGAGAGAGAGGAAAATAATATAATATGGTTCAGGAACTGTGAGCCAGACTATTTAAACTGTTGAGTAGACGCTTCTGTGAACAGTAACTGGATTGTCTGATCTAGGGGCATTATTTACAGACCACTGTCATCATGAACCTAGTACAGGGACGGTACTGAGTTAAACAACAAACACGCACATCTGCTGATGGTGGACAAGTTACCGTGGGGTAGCCAGTATTTCATGTGTAGTATGTTTAAGTAGTATACACTTGGGTTTGCTTGGGAACAGGACTCATGGCAAGTCTGGTCCTGTCGGCTCAGAGTCTGTTCAAAGTCGTAAGTCTGACAGGCCATGCCTGTCTCGTCCACCATTAGACTAACGGTTAGTCCCAGAATACATAATATTTTGACAGAAACAAACCATTCCTTTTAAACTGAAAAGGAGCCCTAGCTATAGCGAGAAGGGAGATTAAAAACCTTAGGAAATCTAGACTTGGGGCTTTAGCATTGCAGAAATGGCTAGGCAGCCGGTAAAATAATGCGGTTTAGAGATTGTGAGACAGACCGGTCCACCATGTAAAACTAAAACTGTAGCCGTGCTTTGGCAATGTTCATTTTGTTCGACAGATAATTGGCCGACTGTTTCGTGCATGTTGTAACTTCAACTTCATGTAACAGGGAAGTCGTGTCTATATTAACTTAACGTTCATATTAACAATTAGAACATCAGAACTTTCCGATCTTAGACTGGTGTCACCTGGGTATAAATTGGCAAGGCGATATACGTATGATACAAGGAATGATTGATGTCAATGACTTGTAATTCTTGCTAAAATTAACCACCAGTGACAGTGAATGAGCCACAACTTGCCGTAGTCTATCTATGTCATGGCATGACAAATAAAGCAGGCGAACCGTTGTCAGCATCAGCAGTGAGCAGCGAGGTCGGGATAGCCACGCCCAGCCAGCTGTCACTTGTCATTCCTGAACAACACAGCACATATTCAAATTTTCTTGTAGTAAATATCCAGTTGTAAGACACTCCTTGTTTACTTCCCTTTACTTTCAAAGCCTTACCACCGCAGAAAGATTTAGCCTCTTGTTTACACATAATGAAACAGATAGCATATATTAGAAATAATCTGCTATCATATATTCAACTTCAAACATATCTTGGAGATCTCTAGATTGTCCTAGGTCATTGTACACATTGGTATTAGTAGATGTGTTGTGACTTATTATATATCTTGTGTATGTAGTTTATAGAATATTGTCACTGTTTATTCATGGAACGTTTGCGCAAGATATCTTGTATCTATGTTTTTCCGTAAAACCTCCAGGATGCAAGTTAATGTCGTGTAGTTTTTCTGAAGAGGCTTTATACTGTAAACACGCTGATAGTGCGAAACACCTTTGCTGATGCTATTTCTACGCGGCATATCCTGTTTTCCGTATACATGTATTTCAACACTACAGACATTAGTTAATGGAGTCCACCTGAAGGCGACTTGCGTCGCCCTGCCATAGTAACCATGTCGTCCAGCTCAAAGCGAAGCCTGTCTGAACTCCACGCAAAATTAATGGGTGCTGATTACTGGACATACGTGACAGTCATGGTTAGAGATAACGGCGTCACAATGTCCCTACTTCAGTTGGTTTAGAATGGACAAACTGAAATTGGCAAATTTCTGGACACGTATCTTATCAACAATACCACTTATAATGTAGTTCTTGAGAGGCATATATAGTCCGTTTGGGTTCAAATGAGAACGACAAATGATTAAATAACTCGAAATTGGGATAAGTGCACAAAACATAAATAACACACATGGTCCTGTACCCAACAGGATCTGAAATCTGACGTTTTGTCATCGATCGCGGGAAAAGCTGTTTAAGAAACCATCATGTAATATTGTGCTATTTTCACGTTTCACACCGAGGGTGACAAACGGCTGGTGGAACAGCACCAGCGCACATTCAGGCGCAACTCAGCACAGCCAGGTGAGATGAACCCAGCTCGTCAGGCGCTGTTCCATCAGCCGTTTGTCACCCCCGGTGTGAACGAACAGAACGGGTTACACAATGGGTATTCCAGCAAAAGGGCTACCCCAATACAACGGGTTACATAATGGGTTTTCCAGCAAAAGGGCTACCTCAATAGAAAGGGTTACATAATGGGTATTCCAGCTAAAGGGCTACCCCAATAGAAGGAGTTACATATGGGCATTCCAGCAAAAGGGCTACCCCAATAGAAGGAGTTACATATGGGCATTCCAGCAAAAGGGCTACCCCAATACAACGGGTTACATAATGGGTATTCCAGCAAAAGGGCTACCCCAATACAACGGGTTACACAATGGGTATCCCAGCAAAAGGGCTACCTCAATAGAAGGGGTTACATAATGGGTATTCCAGCAAAAGGGCTACCTCAATAGAACGGGTTACATAATGGGTATTCCAGCAAAAGGGCTACCTCAATACAACGGGTTACACAATGGGTTTTCCAGCAAAAGGGCTACCCCAATAGAAGGGGTTACATAATGGGTATTCCAGCAAAAGGGCTACCCCAATAGAACGGGTTACACAATGGGTATTCCAGCAAAAGGGCTACCTCAATACAACGGGTTACACAATGGGTATTCCAGCAAAAGGTCTACCCTAATAGAAGGGGTTACATAATGGGTATTCCAGCAAAAGGGCTATCCCAATAGAAGGGGTTACACAATAGGTATTCCCGCAAAAGGGCTACCCCAATAGAAGGGGTTTCACAATGGGTATTCCAGCAAAAGGGCTACCCCAATAGAAGGGGTTACAAATGGGTATTCCCGCAAAAGGGCTATCTCAGTAGAAGGGGTTACACAATGGGTATTCCAGCAAAAGGGCTACCTCAATAGAACGGGTTACATAATGGGTATTCCAGCAAAAGGGCTACCTCAATAGAACGGGTTTCACAATGGGTATTCCAGCAAAAGGGCTACCCCAGTAAAGCGGGTTACATAATGGATATTCCATCAAAACGGATACCCTAGTTTGTCCATCATGGAGTCTGGACCAGACAATCCAGGAACTGACATCTTGAACATCGACCCTCGCCATTGTGGTCATCAGCCAAGCCAGCAAGCCTGACCATCCGGTCACAGTTAGTCCTTTTTTCACATGAAAGAGATGGATACGTGAGAGGGAAATACATGACCTCATATTCATTGAATAAAGGGAGAAGTGTTGTGAAGAACATCACAGGGAGGAGTTAACTTGATTCGGTGGGAACCATTTCACTACCTGTCTGTATGATCGTGACAATGAAAGTTATGTTCGTTGACGTTTATTGGGCTCCATAGGCGGATCCAGAGGGTCCCTTTTGTGCTGAAAGTTTGTTAAATGACCATTGAGACTCAGGTGAAAATGAAGTGTGCACCCATCCTTTTTTTCAGTAGTGTGCACCCCCCCTTTCTAAAAAAAGCTGTATCCGCCCCTGGTCTCCTCATACAAACATGCGTTTCTACGTATCTTGTATACGTTGGTATAGACTAACGCTTAGACTATGAAAATATCTTAAACAGAAAAGGAGGCCCGGTAAGCTCGGATATTGAACCTGAGGAAATCTCGACTTCAGAGCTTTTGCGTTGCAGAAAGGGTTGGGCGGAATGTATAATAATGTGGTTCAGGGACTGTCAGACTAACATATATAGAGGATGAATTCCATGATATGATACGTCGAAAATATGAATCATTTAGAAATAAGTTTCTATAAGTTTCCATGTGTGTTGAAATTTACTGATAATTATGTTTAATTTGTCCAAGTGATTGTTTTATATGGTTACTTCTCTCCTGCGATGAGCATGGGCTGCCGAAGACGCGTTCATGCTGAAGGGGTGTTTTCATGTTCAGGAT